CACATAGATAATACCCCAGACAGAACTTGAATATTCTAGTCTTATTCTGAGCAGCCTTTGCAATTTTGGTCAGTATTGAGCACCTCCTCTAGAGCCACATTAACGGGACTATAAGAAATTATGTTCTAGAACTCTTTTATTATATAAAGGCTTGACAGGATGAGAAGTCAAAAATTCTATTTCCATGCAAGAACATTCTTTCTGTTGTTTAATTTTTGTTTGACAAAGAAATAGAAAGTGATATTTTTTCCTTGAGAGAAATTCCCCAGTTTTTTTAAGTTTATTATTAGTCTATTAAAAGATTTGGATATACACAATTCTAGAAAAAATAGAGAATGACATCCTCCCTGTTAATATGGGAGGTCCTGTCACGAATGTGAAACATAAGTGGATGACTACCAAGCTTAAAAAGAATGTGTCTCCAGAAGAAATGGTCTGGATCCAAATTCCCAAGCATAAGGTGTTAGACTTTTCTCACATTTCACTGTGATAGAAACAGCCTACGTGAATCAAAGAGAAAGTAGGTCAACAGGAAATCATCTTTTTTGTTGTTGTTGTTAAAGGCTCAGAGGGCTGCAAGCTGACTTTCACAAACCCTATCTAAATCCTCATTCCACAGACGGCTCTCCTATGACTGACTTAGCCTTCTAAAATTTCTGGGAATGTGTAGTTAGCATGCTAGATAAAATAATGAAAGATATAGTTTTTTACTTTTAGTTAAAAACACCACTGAAAAGGATGTATAAAAGCTTGTAATCCATTGCAGGTATATTAACTTTTCAAAAAAAAATATGCTTAAAAAAAGAAGCGTTAAGCCTAAATGCATAATTTAAAGCTATTCCATTTGTGTTTCTGCCATCAGTTCCACTTTAAACACGTTGACAACTTCACTAAGACCTGACTTTAGGAAACCCTGTATTTGAGACAAACATTTAAAATAATTTTTTCATTGACCTCTTCTGCCAGTTTAGTTAGTGGGCAACTTTGGCAGAACTTGCTAAAGTTAACTCATTTAACACTGCAAATGTCCACTTAGAGCGTAATTAACTAAGGAAACAATGGCCTGTTTATACCAAAGAGTCTCTGAAGCTACTTGTGTGACTGTTCTGTCAAAGCTTGAGGCCAATGGGGAGAAAGAGAGAGAGAATCAGAGACACACACACAGAAAGAAAAATCTCAAGGAGCACAGACTTACCTTCAGAACTAACAGGTGTTTACCGACGGGAAATAAAATATCAGAGTTGGCTGGGCTGGAATGAGTTCTCAGCGCATGAAAGAGCAGGTGGCTTAAGAGTGACAGTGTGGCACTGAGCAGGACGCAGGGAGATGTTAAAGAAACAAAATTGGGAGGGGCTGGCTGGCGGGCCTGCAGGTGGTACCTTGCTTGTGTAATAGAGCAGCCAAGAACCTGACTGACCTGCCTCTCAGCTGTAAGCAATAGGATATCTCCTCACTCAGGCCTGCAAAAGCCCAACCCTCTAGTTTTCATAGGTTGCATTGACTGATTTTGAGATAGGCTGGTTCTCTGCAGCAGTAGCAAAGGGGAGTTGTTTATTTCTTGAGGCGGCGGGGGGGGGGGTAGCACCCTCTGGTGTATTAAGAACTCTAGAAACATGCTGGGTAACTCTCTGCAGGTTAGAAAACCCCAGTGAGTCATTCCCCACCCCTAGTTCTGTATGCTAGCCTAAGGCTATTCTAACTCATAAACAAATCCTTAAGTCTTTCTCAGCAGTGGCCCTCTGTGACCTTAAACCTAAATGTGAAGAATCCATACGGGTAGTAATGATGGATTCACCTGAGGAGCACTGAAACTGGTGTTACAGGAAGTCACACTAACACAAAGTCAGTGGGTGTTTGTTGGGGTTCTTGAAAACTCTGTACAGGTTTACTTTAGAACCTCCAGGAGCCAGGCACTGAAGCACATGCCTGGAATCCCAGCACTCAGGGAGGCCGAGGCAGCCAGATCTCTGTGATTTCTTAGCTGCCCTGGTCTACAAAGTGAGTCCAGGACAGCCAAGACTACACAGATAAATTCTGTCTTGAAAAACCAAAAGAAAAAGAAAAGAAAAGAAAAGGAAGGAAGGAAGGAAGGAAGGAAGGAAGGAAGGAAGGAAGGAAGGAAAGAAAGAAAGAAAGAAAGAAAGAAAGAAAGAAAGAAAGAAAGAGAACTTCAGAACTAAGTTGGGGTTCTTGCTGATGATCCAAACTTTAGAGTCCCTACAGCCTATGTGAGAATGACCTAGGAGACTTCTTGTTCGAGCAGCTTTCATCCTGTTTTCTATTTGTTTTTACTCTCAAAGTAGAAGGTGGAAGATTTCTGGAGTGCCTGGGTCATACTTAATTAGATGCTTGAGTTAATAGCAAATTCTCATGCTTCCTTTTGCCTCCCTCCATGTCTTATCAAAGGGAAAAGTGTGAAAGTAAAACATTCTTCACTTCAGGATTTGGGGACTGGTGTAGGTCCCTCATGCTCAATATACCCAAGGTTTACATAGAGTTTGTGCAAAGAGTTAGATTTCCAAATGTTAATGGGGTAAATGGAACTTCATCTAATAGACACACACAAGCTAGTTAATTGGTTTCAGGAAAGAATGGGGTAATTCTATAGTTTTAAATTTTCTGCAGCCCAAAAGCTACCGGAGAGTTTGGTTAAAAATTAAACTCCTAAAAAGTATTCACTCAAAGGATATTTAAGCTGTGTATACATTGGCATGAAGAAAAACAAGTTAAATTCAAATACTGGTTGCTGAGCAATAGCTAAATAGATTTCAATTGGTTATCTTCAAATTATCAAGTTACTGGGAAAAGAATTTGCTGAGGATGGGAATATTCTTTGTCTGAATATTGTCTGAACTCAGAGAACTGAGTTTGAACTAAGCATTGGCAATACAGTATCCCTAGACATTCTCCTAGGCATATGTAGAAATACCATTACTCTTTTCTCACTTCATAGTAATAATTACAGCTGATGACAGACAGGAGCATTGCAAAGCACTTAGGCTCCAACTTTCTCCTTTCATTGCCCAGAGTGTGGAAACTATTCTGACACTTTCCTGAAGAAAGTGTTTTTTGAGAGCTCAGAACATTTACATTGCATTCCTATGGGATAACCAACTGAAAGCAAACCCCTGCAGCTCCTGACCATGCTTAAGTCTGTTCTAGACGAGAGCACCCTTCTAGATCCACGTACATATACAATAATACATCCTCGCATGCAGACATAAGTGACAGCTAAGGAAAGCTATAAGGTTGATAAGCGACTAGAATTAATTTTAAGTAATATGCTTCCTGTTGATCTTTGGCATTTTTTTATTCAAACTATAATTGACAGAAGTAATATCACTGTGACAGAATCTGTTCCATTACTGTTCAGATCCTCAGTATGTTAGTTGTAAAGAGTTAAATAGAGTTGATGGTGAAACAAACCCACTTCATTGTAATGGAAGCAATAGGGAGTCATTGATTACTAAGCCACTAAAGAACAAAGTACTCATTGGTAATATGGTGAGATATATTAAATTTGTATTACATAGTTAATGTCGGAAATATAGTTATTCTGAATATTACATTTGAGAGTACATTTGGTTTTTATTAAATGTATGACAAATTCTAGTCACATTGTTTTAAAATATGAATGACCACAAGAATGTAAGTGGAAGTTCTATCTTTTTATTTTATTTAAAGAAATAGTACAACATAATTAATAAATATTATAATATAAATACATATTAATTTTCTAAGAGAAGAGGAGAATGAAAATAGATTTAAAGTTAAGCTAATAAACTTTAGATAGAAAATAAGGATTTATTAAATTCGTATTATTCAGGAAAAACAAGGTCTAAAAAAGTATTACAGAAAATGATCCCCAATTATGCTTTTAGGTGTTCATGTATTCAAAACCAGTTTATTGGGCATTTTTTTCTCTGGTATAGGCCTGATATAAGTTGCCCACTGTATCTATTTATCTCCAAATTCTTTAAACAAAAATTAGAAAATGATTGTAGGCTGCTGCTTAAGAAATAATCTCTTTCTTGGTGTTCCCTCTGTTAACAAGGTCCTACTCGGCATATGTTAGCAGAATAACTTTCCAGTATATACAGCCCCATTGCCTTCTCATTCAGCATAAAACTTCCCAGGCTCATTCTGGCAGGGTTCTTAGTTCTCATAGTCAGGGAGGCAGCTGTATGCGTGGTAAGGCAAGTTTGGCCACTGAGTCATAGTTCCTTTATTGAGTCTTGAATTTACAGCTTACTCGTTTCATAACTGTAGCTAGTCACATTTCTAAGGCTGCTTTCTCATTTGTAAAACTGGGAAAGTAACTCCTACTCCTACCTCTTAGATGCCTGTGGGGAATCAATGAATTTAATGGAGGAAAAGAAGAGATCAAGTAGGCCCAGCTAATGATAAATGTGATTATGATTTTTTTTTTTTTTGGAGATGTTAGAACTTAAAGTTTAGAATTAACAGGAATAGAAGTTAAAATGAAGCCAACCAAGGGTTCAAACACGTGTATTGAATTATTCTGAATTTATGTATATCTCTTGGCAGAGGAGTTAGTCAATAATATTCATTGAATAAAAACTAGGTAAACTCTTGACTTGAAATTGGTTCCATTTTTCTGTAGAGAGTCTTCTTATTCTACCTTTTGTAAAACTAGAGGCCTTCCTTTTTAACATATCTTATCACTTTCTTAACATTTTCCCTATAGCATTTATTGATGTACATAGCATTTTACATCTTATTTTGTGTGGTTTTTAAAATATGTTACTACACTAAAAAATTAACTCAGGAAAGCAGGTATTTATGTCTGTTTCAATGCTTTTTCTTTGAGCTTGAATAAGGGTCATTATGGAAGGGCGGACCCAGAGAAAATGCTCAATAAAGCTATCAATTAAAACATAATTGAGTGAGCCGATACACAAATAAACAGCACATTTAACATCAGAGATAATTAAAACCAAGTGAATGCATAAAACATCTTCAAATTCACTGCATCCTACCTGGAATACTTTTCTTGTTGACTTATTCAGACCTGAAACCTGATACTTCACTTTTCATTTAAATTCATTCTTTGCCTGGATCCAGTGTCACAAACATGCAATCCCAGTACTTCCAGGCTGAGACAAAAAGAGCAAGTTCAAGGTCATCCTCAGTTATTTACAAGTTCAAAGCAAGCCTAGACATGCGACCATTCTCCAACAAAGGAAGACATTCCTTGGGCATATCTGTATTTGCATATAGATCATTGTGCTCTTTCTTATAGTAGTTAATCAGGAAAGAGTGATCAGTCACAGAAATTGACCTTAGTAAGGGATGTATCAGTCTGCTGTTCTGAGAAGGTAGAAGGTGAGCCCAAATGTAGTTAAGGAGACAGGTATGATTGGAAGAATACTTTCTTCTGATTGCTTCATATTTAATGGTAAGATGAACAGCAACAACAATGTTATTAACAATATGACAGAAGTATAGTGATGGATATTAAAGGGTAAAGAAAGGGTATTATAACATGGTAACCAGTGATCACCACTCACAATTAGTGGCCATTAGCTTAAGTAGGTCAGTATAAAGCTATCTTTTCTTTGGTACCATTAATGTGCATAAATACAAATAGATGTGAAAAAAAGAAGGAGGAGGAAGAAGAGGAACAAGAACAAGAAGATGGAGGAAGAAAGAGAGAGGGGATAGAGAGAAAAAGAGAAAGAAAAATATGGCAAAGGGGAAGAAAGTATAGTAAACCTGTGAGAGGAACAATAAGTAAAAATTCGAATCAAGAAATTGTTAAGGGCTGGAAGTCACCTCCCAGCCATCAAACCCCTCAGATCTACCAGTAACTCAGTCTCCAAGACACTCTTTTGGCCTTCACAGATACTTGTAAATACATGGCACACACACATTAAATAAATAATAATTTAATAAGTAAGTAAAGTAGAATATATCGTAAAAAAAGCAAATTCTTGAAATTCATAAAAAATAAATTCATTTAGTGAATATAATGATTAAAGATTACGTGAGTTTGCTATCACTGAGCAGAAGTATGTCCTGATAGCACATTATGAGGAACAAAAAGCAGCTTGGACATTTCAAATGAAAGAAAACAAAAAGCCAGGGCATTGGAACTAGCACCTTTGTGTATTATAATTTATAAGAGCTACTTTGGGAGACTGATTGATCAGACTTAATATAATTCAGCCAAGAGTTAAAAAGCCTCCAGAGATGTGAATGAGTGTCTCCAGGGAACAGAAGACTCTAGTACTGATAGTCAAGGGGAAGGATGAATTGATAAAGAACCAGTGAATATTTGAAATAGATAAAATAGTCCTAGGTCACAATGAGGAGTAAAAAAAAAAAAAATCAACAGGTCATCTTCATTTATTTTTCATGTTGGAGACATCACCTGAGAGAATTGTGTGGAAAGTGAGAATTCAGGGGCTTACCAGATGACAATTAGAGCAAGAACGTAAGGAGGCAGAAATCACTTAGAGCACAGCAAGATTGCATTAAGAAGAACTGAGAACAAATCTGAAAAGCAATCTTCGTTACTCTGGAAGAATGGACATTGAAGAGTTGAAAAGTGGTTTGAAAACTTGGGGCTTTTGAAGTAATTCACAGGAGTAGGGTTAAAGGGGACAATGATATTTCCCTAACACGCAAGTTGTAAGTGGACGTGAAAAGACAGTGGGATTGGAACATCATGATAATGTGGACAGTTCTGCTCATTCTCTGGACACCAGCTGATTTAAGGATTACAGACATGGACCACTTTCTAGTAATCAAGGGAACCTTTGGGCATTGCAAAATTGCATTGGTCTCTTCAGTAAAACAGAATATTCTCTTGCACACAATCACCACCACTGATTTCCTCCTTTGTGATGGAGTATACAGTCATCCACACCCTCTTCCTGTAAAACCCTAATTTCATTTTAAGTCTAGCCTCTTCTGGTAATGCAGAGAATAAAAAAACTCCTGGAGAAACTCACTTATTTCTACTTGAAAAAAAAGTGCCATAGCTAAATCAACTCTGCCACGTCACACAAGAGTTTTGCCAAGGGTTCTCTCCACTGAGCTGTAACCTCCAGAGGACAACAGAGGGTGCAGGAAGCTATACCTCAAGTCTACACCCTTAAGAGGAATGTTAGTGTTTCTTGGCACAAATACAAGCATAGGAGGAAAGGGACACTTACTCATGGCCCAAAGAAAATTTTGAAATCAAGTTCATACCCCATAAAAAAGGCAGAGTGGCCTTTTCATCAATTGAAAAAGAAAGTAAGAACCTAAAAATTTTGTAGAGCATATTGAAACCCATGTTTTTTTGTTTGTTTGTTTTAATTAAGCTCATTTCCTAGAGGTTCTTTAGCTACAAAGAAAGGATATTTCCATGCTGAGCCAGGAGAAAATCCTGAAAGAGTGGCGCATAGAGATATCATGAATGGAATCCCTTGCTTTAAAGCTGGGGTCGAACCCAGAAGCAGGATCTCAGGCACCAGAGCAACTTGAGTCAAGGTGGTTGTGGTCAAGTTTGCCATACTTCCCAAGCTTTAACCTGATCACTACTAAAGTAACTTCTTACAAATGAGACTGAGGCCATCAGTTATGGGCCATCACCACCCATAGCTATTTTAAGAAACGACACAAAATTTTGGAAAACTTGTTTAAAGAAATGAGAAACAAGACATGCAGACACACAATTAGACACAATAGTAAGGAGAATGGAAGCCTGGTGTGTCAACGTCCGTCTAAATACCTTCCCAGCGGTGATGAGGCTTAAACCGGAGGGATCGTTTAAGTCTATGACTTCGAAAAGAACATAGGAAATACAGTGAGATACATTCTCAATTTTTAAATTAATTAATTTGCTTATTTATTTACACCCCAATTGTAGCCCACTCCATTTTCTCCTCCCAGTTCCACCCTACCTCCCTCTTCCCCATATGCACCCTCCTTTACCCTTCAGTATAAGAAAACCATAAATGTCAAGGGCTCCAGAAGAATATACACCAAAAAGCAGAGTGCAGAAATATAGCCTTATTTTATCAAGCCACTTCTTGATACTTATCTGAATGCTTTTCTGAACATTTTTAATATTACCTCATCATGGAACAGTCAGTACCATAACTCAAGAACAGCAGATAGAATTATCCTTTCCTTTCCCTTCAGAATGTCTAAGTCATTGTCATTTTGATAGATAGTATACATAAATAAATAAATAAATAAATAGATAGATAGATAGATAGATAGATAGATAGATAGATAGATAGATAAATAACTTCAGCTTTGTAATGCTGAAAGTACTGTGTTTTAAAGATTGTTAGAAACTCCATAGCTCTCAGCTCACTACATTTTAAAACTCTCACAGTCCTCAGCACCTCAGGACACCTGGCCGACAGCATTCCTCACGGTACTCTGCTACCTGAGCACAGTTTGAAATAGTTGGGCTACATATGAAGGTGCCCGTGTAGCACATATGTGTGCCCTCCTCAGCACAAACCAATCATATTCTGACTCAATACTATCATCGTCGGCTTTCAGAAACACTCAGGGCCACTCCGCCATTCAGTATTGGAAGAAAGTCAAGATTATGGGCTATGTCTACATGACATAGCCGTTAGCCACAGCAAAATATGGGGAAATCAAATATTGTTTGAAAACTGAATGTTTTCTTAAATTTCAGATCATGAAGTAGACAACATGAAAAATAGGTATGGGTTGGAAACCAAAGTTCTTAGCTACAAATTCTCTTATGTGTAACGACTAACAGTTTAAAAATTAAGTAAAATTTATTGTACCCTTCTAGTCCATTAAACAGAATTCCACCACTGGCAAGCTGCTTTTAAGGTTAATTTTCCAGAAAGCCTTGTGAAGTCTATTTTCATTTTAAGTTAAAAACAGGAAATTTACTATTTATTAATTTATCAAGGTCATACGTTTAGAAACAAATACAGGCATCGTTTGTTTGTTTGTTTGTTTGTTTGTTTTTGACAAAGGGTTTCTCTGTGTAACACTGGCTGTCCTGGAACTCACTTTATAGACCAAGCTGGCCTTGAACTCATAGTTTTGCCTGCCTCTGCCTCCCAGGTGCTGACTGACATTAAAGGTGTGCACCACCACAGCACAGAAGGAGTACAGATGTATTTTAAGCCTGGAAGACTCTTATTTAACCTAAACACGGTTTATTTCAATGTCTCTTTTTCCACTATAAGTTAACAGCTCCTGTGATCAGTTCTCTGAGCATCTTTAAGACAAGTCTTAAATACACTGCTGAAGAAGAACACTTGGGGGATCATAATGCTGTTAATGGGACAGCGATGACTGTGTAAACTTCTGCATAAGTTTAATTTGGCACAAACCCCTGTATAAGGTTTCAGCAGTTAGAAAGACAAAGACCTGATCCGGTTATATCTGCTTGGTATTGATTTGTATTAAAACCTGTAAGTGACCCTCCTCCTTCAGACCCCTGCTTCCTGGAGCAACAGGCAAATGTCACTGTGCCCAGCTACAGTCCTTGTGTCTTTATGCAGCGTAATGTTCATTAGGTGTAACTTCTTATTCCTCCATGAATTTCCTTAGGAGGAAAAAGCAGTTAATGATTTCAGAATCTTGTGAAAATTCCCAGAACTTAGCAAGAGTGACTATTTTACCATCTTCTCTCTTACTGAATGTTAAAGAAGGAAAAAAAAATATATGGGAGTGGGTGGAAGAGCCATGTGGATATAAGGAGAGAGCTTGAAATAAGACCAAGCAAGTCTAGACTTGTTCCAGGTATGAGGTAAGTAGCACTGAGATCAGACCTTCAAATCTTCCCCTTCACACACATTCTTTTTTTCATCCACAGACTTTGCAGAGCAGAAGCCATCTCTGGGCCATCATAGCATTCCTGTAAGATGTTAGCTACAAAAAAAAAAAAAAAAAGACAGGAATGCACCTAAGGCTGGGAATTTAAAGCGTTCTGTACTCATGGCCTCCCCCCACCCCAACCTGCTCTGCAAGGTCTCTAATTGTACCCTGTGTGTGTGGTGGTGGTGCAGCATTGTATGGGGAAAACACATTATGCTTGAGGATGTTACCAAAAATAAATCCTAGGAATAAAGAAAGGTCTTCAGTCGCATTTGGGTGAGGTCCA